TACGGCAGAGCTTGAGCTCGTGCCAGTTCTTGTCCATGGCGTTCTTGTACGCCGTGTACGACGGCCCGCAGTGGGTCTCAAGCGTGCGGAGCGTCTTGAGCACGCACGTGGTGACGGCTTCGCCCGGGATCAAGCACGCGCGGGGGTTCTCGTCCTTGCTCTTGCAGACAAGGAAGGCCTTGTTCACGCCTGCGCACTCCTTCCCGAAGATCGGCGCCGCGCACGTCAAGGCGGTCGAGTCGGTCGACGGGGCGTTCGAGCTCATTCGGTCGCCACCACAAAAAATAGGTCTCTGGGTGAAATCCGACCAGCCAATCCCCCGCCACAGTGCATAATTTCACATACCTGCCGTATGTAATAACCTCTTATTTCGTATCTACATTACCTCTTACAACGTATATTTGCAGACCTCGACCAAGGACTTGGGATGGGAGGAACTACCCGGTATGTCGAGGTCCTCTGCGATGCGACGGTGATGAGTGCACTGTGCTGCGAGGCCCGGCTGCAGAAGAATTGATGCTGGAGAAGCATTGATTACTCTCCAGCCGAGCCGAATTTGCTTGTCCGCTCGACGAGCATCCTATATAAAATGGACAAAAGTCGGCATTCAAACGTTGGATTGCTGAATTGGAAACGTTTGCTGGCTCCTTGATTCTTTGCTCGGCGGTGTACTTCAACGCACTGGCCGGAGGGAGTCATGGGCGCAGGTCTGGCCGCAGGCGTCTCCCTTCCGATTCGCTCGTTTAAACAATGCAATCAAGGACACGCAGGAGATTGCGTTCCATTCTCAGCACGAGACGTCGTCCGTACCGAGCATAGAAATCGGAATGGCGTTAATTCCCTTACTACCGAGTCTCTAGCAAGCTGATCCGACAAGGCAAAGTGGTCGTGTTGCTTTTGGTTGCCGGCTTTGGTTGCCAGCGACGGTTCAAGATCTCGTCGGCAGGTACGTTTTCCGGATATGATGCAAGCATTCCGGATAATGTACTGTCCATGTGACACAACGGCCACTTCAAAGATCGATACGCCGCTCGAACGTCTCTGCCACGATGGCCATGCGCTTTGACAACCAGTGCGACGGCCTCGCCGCCGACACGCGATCGAGCTCGCTCGTTGCTGATAAGAAGGGCCACTCCATGGCAGCTTCGCCCGAAGCAGATGACGCCAACCAAGACGACGACGACGTCGAGGCGACGCATGTCGAGTACGATGACGACGACGAGTACACGTCCGAAGATGGCGACGACGACGATGCTGATGATGGCCTTGAAGGCAAGGACTTTGCCATGTTCAAGGTGCTGGTCGTGGGCATGGCGAAGAGCGGGAAGACGAGCCTCATTCGCCGCTTCGTGCATGGCACGTTCGCCGACATTTACAAGACGACGGTCGGCGCCGACTACAGCGACAAGACGATCGCAATCGACGATACCTTGGACGTGTGCCTCCAGATCTGGGACATTGCCGGCCAAGACCGGTTCGCGCACCTCACGCGGCGGTACTTTGCCGCCGCCGACGCCGCGGTCATTGTGTGCGACATCACGAGCGAGCCGACGATCGCCGCGGTCGTCGACTGGAAGCGCGAGCTCGACACGTGCTGCGGGGTGCAAGGAACGTCGACGCCCTTTCCCGTCTTGCTCGTCGCCAACAAGTGCGATCTGCTTCTCGACGTGCCCCAAGCGCTCGAGTCGGGCGTTGCCATTCAAAAGATGGTCACGACCACCGGCATTGAAGACTGGTTCCGCGTCTCTGCCAAGAGCGGCGAAAAGGTCGACGAGGCAATGGATCTTCTCGTCAAGCGCATGGTGGAGCGCCATCGCGCCAAGCAAGCCAGCGAAGAGGAGCACGAAGCTGCGATTGAAGACAAGCTCGCCGCCGTGAGCAGTAGTGACATCATCCGCCTCGATGCCGCATCGACGGGTGCTCCACCGCCGTTCAGCAGCGGTCGTTGCGACTGCAATTAGCCGCATCCTTTGTTGCGCCTCCTCCTATACGTCTCCCTCGTATGTCGTGTCCACCAATAATTACATCCTCTTGACACTCCATGGTGTCGGCTTGCGCACGCTCCCGGTACCTGCCACGTCGGT